GGCAACATGTCTAAGGAGGGGCACTAATTCAGAATGATACCTTAAAATAATGCTTACTTTTAGTTGCAGCACGATGTCTACTTTGATAAAACTTCCCGATTTAGTTATATAATATACATAATAGCCATTCAGAGAAGAGAAAAAAAAAAAGGCACGTGCAATAATAATGTGAATCAAAAGCATGTCCCGGTGTTTTATATTCAATGGAACAGGAAATGACGTTTCAACACCACCATGCATGCGTGAACTATTGTATTCATTCTGGGTCGTGCTCGTGGCTTTGTAACAACTGTTGTTAAACGAATACTAATAGCGCCAAATAAAATCTTTTTGAAAGCATCCAAGCATAACAAGTGCATTCAGTGTAGTGACTTTGAAATGTTTTGTGTAGTAAAATTCAATTAAAGTAAAAAATAATAAACATGCAGATTTAAGCACCAGTTAGGTCCAGTAAAAATGTCCAATAACAATAACTTCCTTTCAAAAACAAAGGAATAGTGGATAATGGAATGTAATTTTACTGACAAAAGAAGATAAATTCAATTCAAATGTAATATTTACACGTCGTGTTTGCTCCGTGGAAACTTACCAAGAACTAGGTTAAATTACCTTGAACAGATGAAGGGCTGTTAAGGTGACCCTAATCTACGTATTTGTGAAAGAAAAGTTGAATCTGGCTTAATTAAACGACCGTTCCAGTTCTGTATCCTCTAGTAATGTGAACGTGTGAAAGTCACGCGCTCGGAATACGTTAACAACAGTGGAAATTAATAAAGCGTCACCTGTGGCAAAAAAAAAAGGCGCCAAGAGATGTCACCTGCTATATCTTTATTGGGACATTTATGGGAGTAATTAATATATATTTTGATCTAATAAAATTTATCGTTTTTTTTTTATCGACAGACAATATAATGTATTGACTAAGATATGAAATACGTATACAATATTTAATTGTATTCGCCCACCTTTAAAATAGAAAAAAGTATTCTTTTATTTTTGTTCGCAACGTAATGGATCAGTTAAATTACGAAAGCGTTCAAATATATTTACATTTGGTTGTCTATATATATATACATTATATTCAAGAAACAGGGGTTAAGCTATCATAGAGAAATATACAAGTACATAGCTATATATAGTTATACAGGTGAAGAAATACCAGCAGTCTTGAACTGCTCCGCACGTTTCTCAGTGAAAAACAGTGATTCATTGTGGTTTAGTGGCATTTCGACTTTTCAAAATATACCTGTTTGGTTGATCTGAAAGGACACGAACAGAACCTTTACAGACTGTTTAACCCTTATGTACTTGGCAGAAATACCCTGCTTTGATTGGTCGATGGCAGACCGGAAGTCACTATAGGTGGAGTTTTACATAATGATAGTTGTAGCTACAAGACAAGGCAACAATTTTGTGTGACGGTCCCCCTATCCTAACTATCGATGCTATGTGATCACTTAGATAAGCCATAGGGTACACGTGCTTTCCATAGTTTTTGTTACTTCAGTCTCGTCCGAATAGGCAGTATATGAACGTACTGTGTAGTTCGCAAAATGAACCGCAGAAATGGATATTTACAGCCTTTTCAGTCAACATTTTATGTTCGAACAACAGTAAGTTTGGGAGGTTTAGGTTTTGTTTCTTCGGTGATGCAGCATTGGCTAAGGCGTTTGATAAACATGCATTATATTTATTCAGTTCAGTTGTTTTTTTCGTACCTAAAAGTGTGAAAAGTCCAGCCTGTTTTATTGATAGATATTCAGCTGTGTTTAATAATATTTGTCAGTTCATTTGTCAGTATCGCTGTATTTAGTGCCAATATCTGTTTAAAACAACAAACTTGTGTTCGTTTTAAGCGTTGATAAAAAAAAACAAAAACGGACTTCATTAGACTTTTTGTGTGTTTATTATTTAAACGTTTATTATGAAACATATAGCTAACAACAAAATTAAATTTAACTTCTCTTTCGAGATCTTGAAATACGTTATTTTTGGTTTTATCGTTTAATTGAATGTATAGAAAAGTTTAGTAAAAACTTCGGTTTATTTTAACCGCTGTCTTTATGTTAAGTATATATGTTTTGTTACACAAGTGTGTCCTTGTGTATGTGATTGTATTTACCTGCTTATATATATATATATATAGTTGC